ATATGGCTTATTTCCGGGTAACTCGTCAGCGTTATGGCCGCCTCATTGTCCACGTAGACCTGCACTAGAGGGCGTCGACTTGAGGAGAGCTAAAAATGAGAGGTAACTCTCCACTCTCCAGTAGTTAGTTATGAATGGGGCTGGAGCTGGAGCTAGGGCTGGAGGCCGGAGGCCAAAATTACTTGATTCTTGATCTAGTCAATGACAGCGAATTACTTCTGCGTTTATATAGAGTCTATGCCTTAGCCTTGTTATATTTTTTATGAACTAAAGTTTATAAATTCTTCTTATAAAGGAGTAGTCACTAAAGAAGGGAGCACCACCACCATTCAAGACAAACAAGGAAAATGCCTGACAGTTGACAGAGGAACAAGACATTTTGAAAAGATGGACAGAATACTGCTCAGAATTGTACAACTACAAAGCCACGAGAAACCCCGAGATTCTAAACGTTCCCCCAGCAACCAACATCGATAACCACCCAGTCCTTCGAGAAGAAGTTGAAGCAGCAGTTAAAGCACTGAAGAAGGGGAAATCAGCAGGAGTGGACAACATCCCAGGAGAATTGATACAGGCAGGGGGAAAGGACATGATAAGCGCTCTGACTGTCATCTGCAACAAGATCTGGCAGACAGGAAAGTGGCCAACACCATGGACACAATCACTAGTGATTACACTCCCCAAGAAAGGTAACCTGCAACTATGTCAGAATTACCGCACCATCAGTCTAATAAGCCACCCCGGTAAGGTTATGTTGAAGATAATGCTGAACAGATTGAAACCACAGGCAGAGAAGATCATTGTCGAAGAGCAGGCAGGCTTTAGAGTAGGGCGCAGCCGAGGCTTTAGTTCCGGTATCCTCGGGCGCAGCACAACAGAACAGATCTTCAACCTCAGAATACCTGTCCTCAGAGAAAGTTGCATTTGAAAATAGCAAAAGTTGCAAAAAGTTGCAAGAAAAATCAACCAAAGTTGCAAGAAAAGTTGCAAGACGTGTATAGCTAAAATGTCAGGGAATTATTGGAATACATTGTTAGTATGCCCATTGCAATCAAAGTAACCAACGTGAATTTTGTTAGATCAAAATCAAATGTTAAATGAAATGTGAATGTCTATACCGTACCAACTGCTTGGAGGTTGCATAATTTACTTGTGTCAGGTCCTTAAACTTAAACTCCCGCTGACGTTGGGCAGGTGTGACCAGCGTGGTTTTGGGGCTGTTCAAATATAATCGTACACCTTTTGGGTTTTTTTTTCCCCCCCCCCCCACACACACACATTTTCTTTACATTTTCCTCCTCTACTCCCCCCCCCCCCCAAAAAAAAAAATTAAAAAATTCCCGTAATACTAATATTATATTTATTCGCTTTAAATAATATGACATTTATATTGCGCAAATCTGTGTTACAATCATTAGTCTATATGAGCTTTACTTTTACATAATAGTATTCATGAAAAACATGCATACACACATGTGACATAATAATTAAATATGGTATAAGCGGAACCTTTCCGGAAAAACTTCTACGTGAATAGCAGAGTTTTTTAAAGTCATGTTTTGTTTTAAAAAATTATGTTGTCATAAATTATTTTCCTTGTTATTTTTTCACCTTACAAAAGTGTTATAATAGGCCTACAGTATTACATTGGTTCAGGACCCCCCCCCCCCCCCCCCCCCTTTCTTACACTTTTCTTTTACACAAGGCAAGAAAACCCCCCCCCCCCCCCCCCCTTGGGGTTAAAAGACAATATGGGAACAAAATAAGAGGAAAATAATATGACAGTCTGCACACTGCACACACTGGAATTCAGCAAGGATAGTCAGCTGTTAGACGTCTCAGGCCTACAGCGAAATAAGCTATACTAGACTATTGAATCTAGCTACCTTTGATTTTCTTCTTCTATTTTTAAGCCCTCTTGTTTTGAATGATTTCCCACTCGTGTAGGCCTACACAGCTACATATTATACGTGTGCCTACTTGATTTATAAATTTCGTTGGTCTTTCTTAAAATATTCCCACTAGCTGAACTGTTCAAGTTCGAAAAACATTGAAATAAAAAAGTCTTTTATATTGCTGTATTAATGAGGAAGAGTTACATGTATCAATTAGTCAGGCTTAGATTAAC